AAGGGAAGTGGAGGAGAAAAGAAGGCCTAAACATCTACCTACAGTAGACAAACTGCATCTGAGAGTTAGGTCCTTTTATAAAATAAGAAAAAAATAACCTGTCAGTTCCTTCAGAAAGACTAAACAGCTGTTTGTCAAGATCACTGATGATAAGAAAGTCTGGRTTCTTAAAAGAGGAATGACTTAAAAGAAGATCTCATAGAAAGAAAAAAAGCAGGGGTTGTTTTTTGCACCAATTGATCCTCAAAGTTATCAAAAAACCTCCATTTTGTTTCCCCAAATTAAGCATTTTATGACAAAAAAAGAACAATATTAAGTATGGGCTGCAGGGTCAGTGTGTTTGTTAGTATTGGTGTTTTTGTTTTTAATATTTGATTCCAGTATTTCAGCAGAGAATCAAACTGTCTCACTGGTTTTCTGAAGCACACACAAAAGCATTAGAGTTGTTTTTGATGGTTTTTTTTGTGTTGTAAATGACTAAGAATAAAAAAAAGAACCTCTTACTACTTTTTTTATCTTAGTGTTTTTATTGGTTGGGCAAAAAATGGTCAAATGTATTGCAGAAGTTTGGTTTAGTGTGCACAGACGATTTTCTCAGACAACCAGAACTAAARGTAAAAAGAAAAATACAGATTTGAAACGGGGAGATGCTCTGAAGACGGGGTGCCCGAAGGTTTGTGAAACAAGATCTACTTATGATGATTTTCTACTGTAATATTATAAATGTCTCCCCACCCCTCACTTCCACAAAGACCAYCACATTAAACAGAAAATAGCACGTTACCAGTTTTATGTAATTTCCCTTTGGGATCAATAAAGTATTTTTGATTTGAATTGAAATATCGTCTTTAATAAACAGTCACAACAAACCAGACAGTCTACCTCAAACACCTAAAGGAAAATTAAAAGACAATTTCCTAAATGAACTCCTGACAAAGAAACTGGAGGAAACTGTGCTCAAACAAAAAGGTTTTTTTTCCCTCTCCTCCTTCAATTAGTGCTCACTTTTTACAAAATGTGTCTTTAGGTGCAGATTTACTAATTTATTTAGAAATCTCGAACAGTGTCGCAGTTATTTCAAATATACCAAACAAATCAGAAAGTTAAAACCTGAACCAAGACCAGGCAGCTGGGTCTCTGTGGAGAGAGCAGGGTGGGGTGTCGTCCGCAGGTCTATTGTTCAACACTTATCCGACACACACACACCTTGTTTAGCTGCTGCTGCTTCACGTCTACAGTCATCTCCTCACATCACTATGCCCCGATAATGTGGGACATGATCTCACTTTTATTTTTAAATGAACAAAAACAGCATCTGCAGCCTCAGTCAGTGCTTCTTTATGACGCAGCCTTACCTCTGGGCCTGGTGAAGCCCGTCTGCTGCGCTGACAGCTGTTTTTTTTTCAGCTCCTGAGCTTTTTGAGCTCCTCCCGTCTCTTGTGCACCGTCTTGAAATGCTGTTCCAAGTTACTGTTCTCGGACAAGATTGTGCTCACATCGCAAATCCAACTAACAAAAAGTCCTCCCAGTCTGGGTGAAAATAGTTTTCGCTTGCTTGTCAGCTGGATAACACCAGCGATTTATCATCTGTCACTTACTAATGCTCTCATACGGGCGCTCCCAGTTCAACAGGTGGCTGATTAGGAAAAAAAAAACCTTTATTTTCCTTTTTATGTTGCTTTTGAAGGATGGTTTAAGTGCGTCGAGTCGGGTAGGTTGAGAGAATGCAGACATTAAAAGGATGCTAAAACAATAAGGGCTTTAAAAGACGTTGATTTCTACACATCTCTCAATCACCTAGAGATCAGACTGCGATGCAGCGGTCGACACGTTACACCTGATGTGATTTATTTGGACGTGTGTTTGAGAGTAACTGGATGACATTCCTGCTGTGTGACAGGGCGAGGTCAGAGGCTGGTTCCTGGCGGCGCCGAGGATCCTGCCGTCGAGCCTGAAGAGGAACAAGAGGAAGAAGAAGAAGAACCGCATCACGTGCTTAACGGTGCTGCCCCTTATGGTCGTTTTTGAATGTACTTCTTATTTGTTCAAATAGCTACTTTTTCTTCTTTAACTTACATTTTACTTGCTCTACTTCTCCCTTTTCAGTGTTTCTTTTCTTCCATCTACTGGAAGGTTTTTCCACACTCGTGTTAAAAACACTTGACCTTATTACAGAAAAACTAATCTTTTAAGTATGTGTCAAATTTAAGAGCGATTAGGAAGTGTGTGGATGGATGCCCCCTTGTGTCAAACATACATTACACTGTTCAACCCCCACACTGTGAACTGAGTTACCTAAACCCACACCGATGCTCAGCCAATCAGATCAACCGTTTCAGAGCATGTGATTGTGTTATAGCCTSCTAAATGTGCTTCAGGCCAGAGAGAGGAAACGAGCTCTCGCAGTGGAAGCTAGTTCAAACCAATAATGTTAATCATTAGAGGTGTGTTTTACTTTTTATTTCTTTTTCACTGCAGATAAACACGAATCATCATAAGGGGGTTTCGTACAAATAACGGATGTTATCGGTGTGTCATTTTTTTCTTCAGGAATGCCCCGGCTGCCTTTCTTTCCGGAGAACAGGATGCGAGGAGGGTTTGAGCCGCGACATTACTGGCCAGATCAAGGAAACCGACTCAGGTGGGTGTCGTGACGGAAAACACCCAAAACAACACGTCGCATCGGACTGTTTGTCTTAAGAGATTTGAGGCTGGGTTGGAAAAATGTAAACAAGAGACAATTTTTCCTAATTTTTGTCACTGGAATAAAGTTTTTTTTTTTTACTGGAATAAACTTGAGGGATTTGTGATGTTTATGTGCATCTTTAAGACAGGTATGTTGATACATTTCCACAAAAGGTAGTAAATGACATGAAACAGTGTGAAGACGTGCTGAAGTGGGAGTGTCAGAAACAGTAGGAYGTTAAAGCAGGGTTCCCGCYGATCCATAAAAAGTCTTAAAAGGCATTGATTCATTAATCCAAACATAAGGCCTTCATTAGCCTTAAAACATTTTAAATCAAGATTTCAGAGTTCTTAAAAATTTTAATACATTTTAAGAATGATTGTAATTCATGTGAAATATTAAAACAATTGGTAATTTAAAAAAAAATTTCAGTTTTTTTTATTTATTTCCCCATTTGTGTTGATTGTGAAGTTGGGTCTTAAATTTCATTTCAAGTGGCATGAAAGAGGTCTTAAATTTAACTTGCCTTAAGCTGTAGGAAGGAACCCTGTAAACAGACAGGCCAATTTAAAGGCAAAGTCAAATCGGTATCATAGATTAAATCTTTTTTTTTAGTTTGACAGTTTTACAATTTCAAATCTTTCTTTCAGTTCAAAATTTATTTATTTTTAAAAAAAAATTTCAGTTTTTTTTATTTATTTCCCCATTTGTGTTGATTGTGAAGTTGGGTCTTAAATTTAATTTCAAGTGGCATGAAAGAGGTCTTAAATTTAACTTGCCTTAAGCTGTAGGAAGGAACCCTGTAAACCAGGGGTGTCAAACTCCAGTCCTCGAGGGCCGCTATCCTGCATGTTTTAGAGGTTTTCTTGCTCCAACACACCTGACTTTGATGGCTGGGTGATAACAGGCTTCTGCACAACTTGAAGAGTTAATTCAATCACTGAATCAGGTGTGTTGGAGCTGGAAAACCTCTAAAACATGCAGGATAGTGGCCCTCGAGGACTGGAGTTTGACACCTCTGCTGTAAACAGACAGGCCAATTTAAAGGCAAAGTCAAATTTATTTTTTAAATGCAGAATTTTCATAAAAACTGCAGGTAACATGGTTACTTGACTGTGGTATAGAACTGAACTATGTGCCTGGAAAATACATAAAAAATACCCTCCTTTAAAAGGTTAAACCTTGGATTTATTCAGCTGTTCTGTTTATAAAGTAGTGAATGCATCGTTTAGTAATAATGAACAACATTCACATATTGTCCCTGTTTTTYTCTTTACACTTCCTGCTTGGTGAAACGTTGCTTCTGTGTTTTAAGAGAGGCTCCAGAGGAGGAAGCAGCTGCTGACCCGGAGGAGGCGGGAGGACCAGAGGCTCATGTCGCTGCAGCCCAGGCTGCAGTGGAGCGTCTCCAGAGAGCGGCGCAGCAAGAGGACCACGGCCCCACTCAGGGGCTCCCATCTCCACCTAAAAGACCCTTTAGGACACCAAACGTGCCGTCACTATGTGCCTTGGCCACCCGAGCAACTGTCCACCTCATGACCGGTAGGACGGTTTGAGCGGGGAACATTGAGCCGTTCAGGCTCGTGCTGTTATTTATTTTTCCTCTTCTCTCCCGTCCTCTCAGCTCCCAGCATGCAGTACAGCAGCAGTCTGGCGGGCCTGACCCCGGAGCTCGCAGAGCTGCTGCTCGACCACATGTCGAAGGAGAGGCTGCTCCGGCCGCGCACCCTGGAGCTCTTCTTCGGCTGCCCTCTGCAGAAGTTTGTCCTAAACTGCTACCCTTACTCCACCAACGAGCTGCTGCGGCAGCTGCGGGCCTTCACGGCGCTGAAGCACCTCAGTCTGGTCAACTCCCCGCTCATCACAGGTGTGATGTCGTGTTTGTTCGAGAGCTCCTTTGTGTTTACGTCACAGTCTGCTGTTGTTGCTTCATCCTGTAAACCGGTTTGTTTAGATTCTGGCCTGTCGGTCCTGCCCAGCCTGGTCAAACTTCAGACCCTCAACCTGGCCTCCTGCTCCAAACTGACGGACTCCTGTCTGCAGTATATCACAGGTATCAGAACAAGCTCCTCTTGGTTCAGCAGTTATATTTCACACATTTTCATTAACCTGTGGAGCCCCATGCCCCCGGTACCAGGGGCAACACAGTTTTTTTTTTTTTTAATTTCCTTTAACTTCTTTTAACTTAAGATCTGTCAGTTGAACCTGGACATGTTTCATATCAAAAGAAAGCTAAGAATCTTGGCTAAAAACTCATGGAAACTACTTTTACATTCACCAAACACGGTTCAAGGGACAGGCAGTTGAATCAGAAAGTAAACAAACAGTACAAAATGGCATTATTGCAAATCTGTAAAGGAAAAACATTTGACATTATTTATTCAAAACAAAGCAGATACCAAAATATGTTGTAAAGTGGGTTAAGTTTTTTTTCACTTGTTTTTAAGTGAACATGATCCATCTGAAGTAAATATAATTTCTCATTATTTTATATAATACTG